TGTCTGCGAAGATCGGCCCCCAGTGCGCTAGTATGGCGCCGTGCATGTCCGACGGCGTCTTGGCGATGACGGAGGAGTCGCCTTGCGAGATTCGAATGCCAGCGAGCACCAGACGCTTGGAGAAGGGCTTCCAAAGCTCTCCCAGCCTGCGTGTAGCACTGGCCCGTTTCCGCCACCTGTCCCCTTGTTGACGCTGTAGACGTTGGTAAGCATCACGGGCACGTGCGGCAGCGAGGGCGCGACGTTCTTCAGCGACAGCAGCATGAACTTCAGCAGCGGCATCGGCGAATGCGTTGGCGTTGCTGAGGCAGACCTTGCTCGAGGGGATGTCGGTAGAGCTGTCGGTGATGATCTGTAAGTGCTCGGAGCCCAGGTGGGTGGCGTCGATGAGGAGGCGCGCAAGCTTGATGTCCTGGTACCAGACAGCGCGGGAGATGCTTCTCATGGTCATCGAGTTGACTTCCTTGGAGATCGAGAGATGGTCGCGTGCAAGGACTTCAGGCGGTAGCCGCGCAAGAGCATCTCGCGTGGCTTTCGCAGCGTTCGTCATGTTGGCTTTCAACGTGCGCCACTTGATGATGGGCGTGAGCGCTTCGTACTCGGTGTCGGCGGAGAGCTTGTCGATGAAGAACTTGTAGAAATCGGAGTTGAAGAGGTAGGCGGGGATGCCTCGTTCAGCATGGGGCCGTTGAGCTCGGGGGCGAAATCGGGAATGAAGGAGTTTATGGTCACTGGCAGGTATTCCTTTCCGTTCGAGTGGCGAGTCGTCGGCAACCATGATCGTCTCAATATGGGTGAGATTATGTGCCTGGAAGGAGGTGAAGAAGCGACCAATGCTTGACTCAGTGTTGTTCGCGCAGCAGCGGTGGGTGGTGGATGGCGTGCAGATCTCGACCAGCGGTCGAAAGAGCTGCTTCCAGAAGGTGGGCTGGAACTGGTATCGTTCTTGAGCAGGCACTTCGACAGGACGCAGTAGATTGCGGGCAGGTAACTCAGAGATGTTGAAGTCGCCGAGCATGAAGAACAAAACGTGCTCAGGGTCGCTGCGTGCTTCATTCATTGCCACTTGCCACGTGGCCTTGATCCGTCTTCGGTCGTCAGCAGATAGATCATGGCTATGAATGTTGAGGTAGATCTGGAGGTACTTCAGGCTGGGGGCACGGATTCGCAGTTCGGCGACTCGGCCAGGTTTGACCGCGGAGAAGTTGATCATCGGCTTGGGGTTGTCTTGGTCGCCGCAGGGGATGAACTTTGGGATGAGGAAGGCGACGCCGCCCGCCGCGTTGGAGTCGGGGATGCCGCTGTGGTAGACGTCGTACTTTGCGCCCGTGGAGTTGATGAGGGTGTGGATCATCTGCGAGGTGCCGTGAGTTTCCTGAATGGCAATGAGCGATCGCTTGGCGAGGTAGGGTTTGAGGATGGAGAGCTTGGCGTCGCGCTTGACGATGTTTGAGTGCACCAGTGCCTGAGCGTTCCAACTGACCACCGAGCATTCAGTCAAAGATGACGTGGTAGTCGCGCTCCAAGGAGTCCATGTGCTGATAAATCCACGACACTGATGTGGTTGCATCTGCGAAGGCAGCGGCAAGAGCGTCGGCGCACGAAGATCGCATTGCAGATGTAAGGCCGACACCTTCAGCAGCATCAGACCATTGAATCTTGGTCGGCAACTCAGGGCGGGTGCCCACTTGGATGCGGACAATGGGGACATTGTCGATGGAGAGGTAGCCGTCGGTACGGTGGATCGTGGGGTTGAGGTCCTGCTTGGCGTTGTTGATGATCCTTGCCAGCTTCTTGAGCTGGATCTCCTGCCTGACGAGCTTGGGGCCCTTGTCTGCGCTGGCGTAGCATGGGGCGCCGCCGATCGTGAAGGTACGCCATTCCCGTCCAATGCGGAGGTGGTGGCGGAGAGCTTGAGCACGTGGTACGGCGACGGCGTCGGCTCCGAGCACAGTGATGGAGACGCGCTTGGCAGGCGCGGAGTTGTTGTAGCGAACCATAGACACGTCGATATTGGCTGCCAAAAACCACTCTGCGATGGCCGACTTGAGAGATGCTTGGGTGATGTCCACGGTGGGGGCGATCCAGGAGGCGCCGATGTGTGGGGCCCTGTCCCACGAGCCGATGTTGCTGACGTCGAGGGAGGGAACTTGGGCTTCAGCGTGGGCGATGGCGATCTTGATCTTGTCCACCGCGTCGTTGAGGTTCTCAGACTCCACTTCAGAGGCGGAGACGCGCTGCTTGAGGGAGACGATGCCGTTCTCGACGTGGTCCTGGCGTTCGGTGAGCTTGGCTGTGATGCTGGTGATGTGCGTGATGAAGCTGGCCTGAGACGAAGCGGCAACTTTCTCTGCGGTGGCCTTGAACTGTTCAGCCGCGTCGGCAACTTGAATGGCCAGGTGCTTCTCGATCTCGGAGCGGAATAGTTCGAGCCTTTCTTTCTGTGCAGCGTCTTGCCATGGGTCTTTGTTCCTCCGAGGACTTCGCTCACGTCGATCACGAATGATGGCCAGGTCGCACGTCTCGGGCATGTTGAGAGATCGCCGCAGACCGCTGAGTCTTGATTCCCGACTGTCAATATGGAGGTGGCCGCGGCACCACAAGCAAAAAATCCCGCGTGGATATGTAAGGAGAGCAAAAAATTATTCACTGCGTGGGGATCCCCATATGTGCATCTCCTTGCTGGCGCTCCCTTGGCGGTGGGACTCGGTGAGGACGAATCTGGATTTAAGTGTGACTGAGCTGCCTCTCTCTCTGCTCTCTCTGCTCTCTCTGTCTCTCTCTCTCTCTCTCTGCCCTCTCTCTGTCTCTGCCTCTCTTTCCCTGCCTCTCTCTCTCTCTCTGCCTCTCTCTCTGCCTCTGTCTCTCTGCCTCTCTCTCTCTCTGCCTCTCTCTCTGTGCCTCTCTCTCTCTGCCTCTATCTCTGCCTCTCTCTCTCTCTCTCTCCTCTCTCTCTTCTCTCTATTCTCTCTCTGCTCTCTCCTCTCTCTCTCACTCTCCCTCTCTCTCTCTCTCGCTCTCTCTCTTCTCTTCTCTTTCTTCTCTCTCTCTCTCTCTATCTCTCTCTCTCTCTCTCTCTCTCTCTCTCTCTTCTCTCTCTCTCTCTTTCGCTCTCTCGCTCTCTCTTGCTCTCTCTCGCTCTCTGTCGCTCTCTCTCGCTCTCTCTCTCTCTCTCGCTCTCACTCGCTCTCTCTCGCTCTCTCTCGCTCTCCCTCGCTCTCTCCCGCTCTCTCTCTCTCTCTCTCTCTCTCTCTCTCTCTCTCTCTCTCTCTCTCTCTCTCTCTCTCTCGCTCTCTCTCTCTCTCTCTCTCTCTCTATCTCTCTCTTCTCTTCGCTTCTCTTCTCTTCTCTTTTCTCTCTCT